ACATGACTTCGCAGCTCCAAATGAAACTGAGTGTAACCTACTAAACCTTCCTTTTCTTTTCTAGGTAACGCGTACTGTCCCATTCCCCTTGCTCTTTAGGAGAGAGAAATTGTTAAGAAAGCAGTTAGTAGCTGCTCGTTCTACTTCTCACTTCCCATTTCCCCCTCAACCCATTCTAGTCAGGCTTCTGTGCCCCACTCCACAGCACCTGCCCTCATCAGGGGCAGCAGTGGCCTCTGGGTACGAAACTCGACGGTCACTCTTCGGTCCTTCCTTCCTCCTTCGTTCTCGATGCCACAGTTTCCTGGCTCCTCCCCTACTGCACTGACAGACACCCGCCGCTGATTCCCTAGCTGGCTCCCACTGCACTTCCCTTCTCCCCTCTCACTGCTCTCCCATCCTAGGCGACCTCCTCAATCTAGCACCATCATCAGAGGAGTGACTTCCAATGCTAGTTTCCGTCTCGCTGTTTTGAATTGCTCGATCTGGGGAAGTTAGCTGGTGTGTCATGATGACACTCAAGCAGCCCTACAGAGAAGCAGACGTGACAAGGAACAGGGGCCTACTGCCAACAGCCAGAGCTGACCCGAGGCCTCTGACGGCGTCCTGGGAGTGAACCATCTTGAAAGTGGACCCCTGATCCCCAGTCAAGCTTCAGATGAGTACAGTCCCTGCTGATGGCTTGACTGCAACCTTTTGGGAGATCCTGACCCAGAACCACCAACTGAGTTGCTTCTAGGCTCCTGACCCTCAGAAATTGTTAGATAATAAGTATTTGTGGCTCTATGTCACTAAACTCTGGGGTGATTTGTTGTGCAAAAATAGGAAGCTGGTATAACTATGTCTATCCCTCTGATCTCATTCTTCCCCATGCTCCCACAACACCTGCCTGCCTGCTGTGCCTGAAACATGCCAGAGTTATTCCTGACCAAGGCCCTTGCCCTCATTGGTCCCTCTGGTTAAGATTCTGTGACCCTGGATTTTCCATGCCTGGCTTCTTCCTGTTGTTCAGGACTTAGTCTTCTGTGACCACTTCTAAGTTAACCCCCTCCCTATCACCATCCCCAAAAGTCTCCATCACACTACTCTGTTTTATTTCTCTCATAGTGTTCATCACTAGTCAGGATTAAGTTTTTTCTTTGATTTATTTATTTACTCTATCTGAGCAGGGAAATGCTGTTAATAGGTACCATGGCAATCCTTTGCGCCTAGAAAAATGTAGGGAACAAAACAGATGCTCACTAAACACTTACTGAGTAAAATAATGAATAAAATCATTTCAATATTTTTTACTGGAGCTATAACCCTTAAGAAAATTTCATCAATTTCTAAGGCCAGAGTCTAAATACTCTTTCTACTGGGTATGTTTAGCTGGCTTGTTGACTTAGAATGTCGCAACTACATGAAAAGTTTCAAAGGACAAGTATATTTAAATAAAGGTGAACAAAGATTGTGGAAGAAAGGTAGGAGGCAAGGCGGATCGAAGTCAACACAGATTACATTTGTGCTGACTCAGGGCTGCCTCGGGCCAAATGGCCGTGACTGGCAGAATGTTTCTAAAGCATATTTGTTCTTCAAGAAGACTTTGGAAAATTGGAAAGTTACCATATATATAGTTCAACTCTTGCTCCACTTCCCCCACTGTAGTCAGAGAAAATTATTATCCACTTTCATTTCAATTCTATATATAAAATCTCTCCATAAAAATGGTAGGTGGTGTAAAGATCAAATACCAAGTGTTAATTATGACAAACATCTTTATGTTTTTATACCACAGATTACCTAGGAGCAGTATTCAAAATATTTAACATTTGGTATAGGAAATATAAATTAAGATATAATTCAGTATATATACCCAAAATTAAAAACATATTACCATTTATAATCCCAATTTTTTTAACCTAAATTATGTATAGCATAAAAGTGTATAAAGCTGTACAAACCAGTCACAAATTATTGTAATCTTCTCTAGTCATTTGTGGTTTTTATGAACTGTCCATGGGTCCTGGGCTTTTGGGGTTGGCAGCGGGTACCTTCCTCTGTGAAGGCCACCAGTTCTGGTTGTGGTGGCCCCCTCCTGCACCTGTGGCTCTTGGTGAATTCCTAGGTCTCCCTACTGCTTTCTACCCTTGTCACACTGACTGAGGGGAGGGAAGGTAGAGGCCTCCCATGTGTCTAGACCCAGAGGGCTTCACCATCTTTCAAGTATCTTAACCTTACCCTGGTCTTTGTAAATAGATATTTCATTAAACTCTCTTCAGTCACTGTTTTTGAGTCAAGGTGATATCTCATTCTTCTTGTTTTTATAGCACCAGCCACAATGAGGTAAATCTTATTAAAGTTTACTTCAGAATAATAAAAGGCATTATAAAATGTTTGTTATCAACTGAGGAGGGCTAGGTAGGGTTAAGAACTTCTGCTCCAGAACAAGGGTTTATGAGGATGTTGTTGGAGGGGCATATAACAAAGGCCTCTCCTCCTCATCAGTTTCTTGAGTCTAGAGCCACAGAGAACAGGTAACTGTGCAAAGGGAACCAGAGCCTCCTGTGAAGTCATCTTGGGACACCTTGGCTGGGCTGAGTTGGACTGTAACATACGGGCATGAGTCATGTGTCCTGTGACTGTGTCTGCCCCACCCCACTCAACTCGGGGCAGGTTCACACTATGAAAAGACTAGGGCTCTGAGCTCAACTCCATAAATCCTAGATTTCCTGGGGGAGCCCAAGTTACGGGCTCAGTATGTGGCTGAAGCTAGGAATCACTTTATCCCAGCCTCTCCTGCACAGTGCCACAGAGACATGCCAGGGGGAGATAGATGTACACCTCCATCTGTAGTCTGAGAACCCAAGCCTGAGTGACAGTAAGGAGGGAGACCTCCCTTCCTTCCCTCTGCAGATACAGAGGATACAGAGGATGAGGATGCAGATACAGAGGATGCAGCTGCTCAGATGGACTAATGGTGACCAGTGTTTTGACTCAACCTAATCAGATCAGGAGTCCATGGGACTACAGGCACAAAGGGCAGCAAAAACAGGGGTTGCAGCAGAGGACTGAATGTTCTGTTTGACTCAAGACTACTTGAGTCCTTGAGTAGAGTAAACCCCCCTAGTGGATGAGTTAAACATGAAACAGAGAATCCCAGGGTGGGGGAAGAATGTTCTTGCTATTCTGAGATGGATGCTTGAGTGACTTAAATTGATTATTTAAAAGATATGATATGATCGGAGTCTTGGCCACCAACATAGCATCTAGTCTGAGGAAGGCCCAGAAACTCTGGGGCCACGTGAGCTATGGCCACCGCCACATTGGCCAGCACAGGAAGCACTCGGGAGGCCGAAGTAACTCTGGTGGCTGCATCACCACAGCATCAGTTTTGACAAATATCACCCAGGTCCCTTCCCTCAGGAAAGTTGGTATGAAGCATTGCCATTCACAGAGAAACCAGAACTTCCTGCCAACTGTAAACTGTTAGAAACTGTGGCCTTTCATCAGTGAGCAAATACGGGTAAACATTGCCCAAAACAAGACTGGAGCTGCTCCTATCCCTGGCGTGGTGCCATTGGGCTACTACAAAGTTCGGGGAAGGGAAAGCTCCTAAAGCAGCCAGTCATGGTGAAGGCCAAGTTCTTCAGAAGAAAAGCTCAGGAGAAGATTAAGGATGTTGGCAGGGGTGTTGGTAGGGGCAGCTTGAAGCCATGCAGAGAGTTCACTAAATGCTCACAAGCGCTTTTGTTTTAAAAAATGATATTATTCTATATGCGTGTCTGGCTGGTAAAGCAGGATATATGGCTATACTTCAATGGCTCCCTACTGTCCTTAGGATAAAACCCAAACTTCTTGCCACGGCCTTCAAAGACCTTAGGACTCTATGCCTCGTTCCCCGATCTCAGCTCATCATCTCCCCTCCCCACCTGAGGAATGTTCCCCAGAGGCCTCCCGGCTTCTCTTTCTTCAAATACACTGCTCAGATTCTCTCCAGCCATAGACCCCGCTGCCCTTCTGCCTGAATTCCATCTCTTCTGCTTAAATGAAGTTCTACCCACTGGCTTCCCTAACTACGACTTCCGTTCCTTCAGATCTCGTGTCAGACACGACTCCCCTCCTTGAGAAGTCATGACTGACCCACGGATTCCCATACACGTGTCCTTTCTAGGTTCATTCCCAACATTGTTGCAACCCTGAGCGTGGTGTTGCACATTAAGTTGTGTTCCCCCAAAACTCGAAGTTCTAACCCTGGATATTTATGAATGTGGTCATCTGGCAGTGCGGTCTTCACAGACGTAATCAAATCAAGACCAAATCATATTGATCAGGGTGGGCACCAATCAAATGACTGGCATCTACGCAAAAAGCGGGGGAATATGGCTAGAGACAGACACAGACGTGGGAAGTCTGCTGCATGACCACAGAGGCAGACGTTGTAGTTGTGTGTCCATAAGTCAGGCAATTCCACGCTTGCCCGTAACCTTCAGAAACTAGGAACAGACGAGAAGGGAGCCTCTCCAGAAGCCTTCGGAGAGAGCATGGCCCTGCTCACAACTTCGTTCACATTGAAAGACTCCAAAACTGTGAGAAAATAAATGTCTAATGTTTTAAGCCACTAAATTTGCAGGACTGTGGTACAGCAACCTTAGGAAATTGATATACATGGTTTGGGGTTAGAATGACCTATTTTTGGTTTCTCTCCGTAGAGTAATCCCCATGAGGACAGAGACAATAGCTGGCTTTGCCATCCTTATTTCCCCAGCTCGCAGAACACTGGCTATTACACATCACATGTGAAATTAATAGTCGTTTCATAACTGGACAAAACAAGCATTGTTTACCTGAAGAAAATGGTTTTTGAGGGGGACAAGAAAGTGTTTAGGTTTATACATCAGACAGGAAAAGGCTGTTTTTGTGGCACTAAGTGCCACATGGATATTTCTCCTTAACTCTTCTGATAACATCTATGACAATAACTGTTCTATGGCATCTTTTCAGGTAGATCAAAGAGTCCATGAAGCTTTTTCTCCATTTATTTAGATGGAAGACACATTCCAGAATATGATCGTGATTTCACATTTGACCTAAACAAAATAGATTGCTGGGCAAGTAAATCTGCAAAGTTGATTTCTAATTAAACTAGCATTTATACTTCGGAAAAGATTCTTAGTTTCACAGGTTTGACATCTCCGTAGAGCACCTCATTGTTGAAAGATTTCAGAAGATTGATTCTATGTGTGCTGGGCATCCCTGTCTGCTTTATTTAAAGCCTGAAAATCTTCTTGGCTTGTTCTAATGCTTTCTCGTCCATGGGAGGCTTCCTCTGACCGCCAGGCTGCAGGAACTTCTTCACCGAAGGGAGGCTGCTGATCCTGGTTTTCAGGGCCTGCAATGCACAAGAGCACAGTCTCAGGGGGCAGACCAAACACCCGCCCGCCATTAGCACAAGCCAGGGACTCCAGACCCTCCTACACCACCACCAACTGAGTCACTCCCCTCAGCACCAGCATGAGGCTGGCAAACAGCCAGCAAGACACGAGCAGGAGAGGAGAAATCCCAGCTCAACAGCACTCCCCCCAAGACACGGTGAAGACTTGATTCAGTTCTCAGTCTTCCCGGTCTCCCTCCCTACAGGGAAATCCTGTCGTTTCATCACTCTTGTTCATACAAGGAAGAGCAACACAGATAAAGGCTCCAAACGGGAAAAATGAAGATATCAGACAGCTAGGTGAAACTGAAGACGGAAGGAAGGCACTCAGAGGAAGGACACCTGCCCACACAGACTCAGGTGACATAGACAAGGACACATCTGGGCCAAAGGGAACCCAGAGGCAACGAGGGCAGATGCTCTCATGGGAGAAGGGCCAGGGACAGAAATGCCGAGTCCGTGGTCTGTCTCATTGAGAAAGACAAACTATTCTCCTTGGGGAAGCATCCACCTCCACTTCCCTTGGCAAAACCAGATTCTTTTCATGCCTCAGACCTGGGCCTACGAGCACATTTTGGAGACCTGCAGGCAGTGGTGTGGGTCATCACATCACCAGTGCAAGAGTCCAAACACGAGACTCCAAGAGGGGAGGGGCGGGCCTCCCTCCGAGGGCTGTGACGGAGGTTACCTTCAGCAGAGGGAAGTTGGCCAGAAGGCTGGGGTCAATCTCTTCAACAGCGTAGATCAGTTCAACCAGGTGGATGTCAGCCTTGCTCAGCCTGTTGCCTACCAGGTAGTCTTGTCCATGGCTCTTGAGCGCCTGGTGAATGGCAGGGATCAGATTATGAACAGGGGCACAATCACGTGGAGCCCTGTTCCTGCCCAGGTTCTCCAGCCCAACCTCTTGCCTCTGCTGCCTCACTGGGCCAGTGGGGGAACCAGGCCACATTCACTGCCCCTGGTTCAGTGAGACAGAGAGAAGCAGGGCTCTCTCTGCTGTTCTTTCCTCACTCTTCACTTAAAGTGCAAGCTACTGGTTCTAATTCCCGTTCCCACGCCACAGGGTTCCCCGTGTGCATCTTCTGCTGGCCCGGGGCCGGCCGTGGCTGCACCGTGTTTCTCTGTCTACACGCCCTGACTGCCCAGATGCTCTGTGGTGTCAGGACATGGACGGCTCTCCACGCTGCCCTCTCTCTCTGCCCCTTTTACAAAGACACCATCTCCGTGACATCCTTCTTCAGTGCTGAGCAGACTGTTTCAGAGCCTCCATTTCTCCTCTGTGTCCTCTCCTCATTTCCTGGTCTCTCTCTCTGGGACCTGACATAAACCTGGGTCAACGTGAACTCACCATCTCCCTTACAGCATTGACTCTGACTGCTAACTTGCACTGTTTTCTGTTCAGCACTGCTGAAGTGTCTAGGTGTGACTGTCTAAGTTTGCTTGAAATTCACTTTGTAATATTTCCAAAAATAGTAGTTCAATGGATAAGGAAAGGGGTTGAAAGATAGAAACTCATCATAAAGCAAACATATGGAAAGGTTAATAGTTGTATTGTGGTAGGCACATATGTGTTCACTGTAAATTTATTTCAATTTTTCTGAAGGTATAAAATTTTTCATAATAAAATGCTGGGGAAATATGTGATATTTATTAAAATGGTCCAGCAATATGGAAATCACAAAGTATTAAGAGAATAAACATACGGCACCACCCACTAAAGGCAACATTTTGGCAAATACACTTTCAGATCATGTATACATATAAAAGAATAGGTAATTATTTAACAAAGATTATAATAACATCAAAAAGTGTTTTGTAAGGTTTGTTTTTTCATGTTACCATGGAGGTAACATGATAGCAAGTGTCGATTCTCAAACTGCAGTGACTAATGAGCTTGCCATTACATGATGTCCCCTAAACGCTCAGCACCACAAGGCCCAGGACAGTGTATTTTCAGGTTAGTATTAAATTCCTTGTTTCTTGAATGCTGATGGACACACAAGTAAGGAATTAACATTTGTAGGATGAATGAAAGATTGCCTTATAAATGCTTTTTAATGTTTTATAGAGATGAGGGTATTGATGCTAAACCTTGTATTTCTATGTATTCCTACTGTATCTCTTATCATTATTCAGTTCATAATTTTTATTTAGCTTGATTTCAGGAAGTTTTCATCTGATATGTTCTTCTCTTCCCTTCAAAGTGAAAACTATGACATGCACTACATACGTAATGATGAATCCCGATTCCTTACGCTGAGAGGCTTTCCTCTAAAGTCTGAGGACCCAACATTTTGTACATAATTTGTTCCTTAGCATCTTTTCATCTGTCTCCTCCCAACCATCCCCCGACCCCCACTAGTTTACACACATCTCACCCTTCCCTGAAACACTAGCCTGTTCTCCTGCTGGGCAGCTGGTCCCCTGTCTCCCTCACATGCTGTCAGAACATTTTCTGACCAACTGCTTTCATCGTGCTCCTCCTCTTGGATGAAAAGCCCCTGCACAGCAGGTCTCTGTGGGGTCCACTCCATCGCTGGTGTGGCTCTCAGGGCCTCCCACGGCCCCGCTGTCACCGTGACACAATATGCCAGCAAACACGGAGCTCTGAATTGGGCCCCAGCCCATGGGGATGTTCCTGGGAGATTATCACTTGGGTGTAATAGACACACACCCTCCCCACAGCGGATTTCCGTAACACGCCTAGGGAGCCAGGGGCTACATTCGTGTTCAGGAGGCCCTCGGGAAGCGAGGGTCAATGCCCCAGGCCTGCCAGGCACCACTGCTGTTTGTCCTCTCTCATCTCAGTGCGCCAAACGCAGAACAGACCACCTACTTTTTCAAAGACAGGGAAATAGCGGTTCACTGTTCTCTCTTTGATCTGGGTTATCTTGGCACTCTTTTGATCTGGTGGGCACAGTGGAAGAAGCAAGATCATTTCATACAGATCTGCTATACCTTCTGAATACATATCAATCCTGAAAGACAAAAATGACCCAATTGTCAATTGTCGCCCGACTTACAAGTTACTCTTTAAAAATGTAAAACAATGGGGCCCCAGGAGGTGAAAGGTAAACCACTTCCATTGGGCGCTTTTTCACAGCCACTCATTCAGCTACAGTTTTCACTGAACTTGAACATTTCGCATCGGGGTAGATAGACACACATGTCTAAAATTTTCATTATACACATGACCAGATATAGGGCCAGAGAACAGCAGTGAGGGGTCCAGAGTCACAGGCACAGAGAAACCAGTAGGATCACTGCAAGTAACCACTGAGACTGTGCCCAGGGTTTGCCAGCTGTGCTGTGGTCTGTTCTGGGCACACACTCAGTATGACTCAATGCTAAATACCCGCCAGCTGAGTGACCTGAAGACAGTCCCTGGCAGAGCCACCTGTGTCATGTCCCTCTCCCTCTCTCATCCTGTTGCATCAGGCCCTTGTACACGCCCAGCGTTCGCAGTGCTCCCCGCAGTTCCCCATGGAACACCCTCCACAGCCCTCCCCAGGGGCGGGGCCCGAGCTCTGGCCATGTCTGCACTGCTCCGGACTCCCCCTAAAGTTGCCCCTGAACTGGTGTAATTGTTTATATAATTCCAACCACTGCATATTCCAGGAGATATGTTTTTATTATTCCTAGCCAGGCTTCTTATAAGTGATTTCTTTTAAAAAATAAATAAAAGCTTTATTGACATATAATTCTCATACCACAATGTCACTCTTTTTAAATGTACAATTTTGTACTTTTTCATAAAGTCACAGATTTCTGTACCATCACCTCACTCTAATTTCAGAATATTTTCATTCTCCCCAAAGAATTACTGCATGCTGTTGTAACATTCCACATTTCCTTCTGTCCCCACCCCCAAACCCTGAGAATAAAATTATCTTCTGTTTCTATGAATATAAATGTTCTAGACATTTCATCTCAATGATATCATACAATATGAGCTTTTGGTGTCTGGTTTCTTTATGCAACATAATGTTTTCAGGGTTTATCCATGTTCATTGCTTTTCATGGCCAAATATTACTACATTGACAGATTCACAAAACTCTGTTCATTAATATCAGTTGATGGACATTTCTGTTGTTTTCACTAATTGAATATTATGAATAATGCTGTTATGGATGTTTTCAATTTTTATTTATTGATTTAGAGAGATAGACAGGGAGGTGAGAGAGAGTAAGAAAGAGAGAGAGACATCCATTTGTTGTTTCACTTATTGATGCGTTCATTGATTGATTCTTGTATGTGCCCTGACAGGGCATCAAACCTACAACCTTGGCATATTGGAACGATGCTTAACCAACTGACCTACCTGGCCAGGGCTTGAACATTTTTTTACAAGTTTTAGTGTAGATATGTTTTTGATTCTCTTGGGTACATTCCTACTAGTGGAGGTGCTAACATATGGTAACTATGTTTAACTTCCTGAGTAACGGCCAACAGTTCCTTACAAGACTTTAGTTTCCATCACGCGTTCCCACCACCATGGGAAGGAGAACCCCCAAGCCCACCCCAGATGTGCGTGTATGGAATGAATCTGGCTGCTTCGGTTCTGTCTCCAAATGTGCAAGGTAACCCCGGCCTCTTGAGGACCAGCCTCTGCTCACCCTTGTCAAGGGGCCAGTCCACACAACCAGCTGATAGGTTAGGCTCCTGGGAATTATTCTAGTAATTTCTGGAACTTGAAACTTCGCTCCTTTGGATCTTCCCCTCCCCAGCCTTATCATCGCAAAGGCCTGAGCACCTGGAGTCCAGGCTGCACCTTCCTCCTGGCTTCACAGTTCATCAGTGTGTGGACACCTCTGTCACTCCCTGTGCTATGCCGTGGACTGAGCCTCCTTCTATGCTCCCACTTGCTTGACTCCACCTCAGGCAGAACCCCTCATGCTCATGCTCATGCTCCCTGCTGGGCTGGACCTCAGTCTTTGCCTCCAAGGCCCACTCTGCTGCTGGTCGTGATCCCTGACACAGCCTGCTCATTCACAGAAGAGTCTGAACAGTTCCTGTTCACCGTTGAGGGGGGAACACAGCAAAAGTACCGTACAGGGCTCTCTCCTTCAGGTCTTTCCCGTAGAGGTTGTGTTTGGCGGCAATGTAGTTGAGGATGGCTCTGGTCTGCACCAGCTTCATCCCATCGATTTCCACCATCGGCACTTGCTGGAACAGCAGATACCCATCTTTTGAAAGGAGAAAAGGAAAAGTGGACTGAAGTGCTTCATAGAGCACACACTCTGGTAATGAAAATGTGTTTGTTGAAATGACTAAAGATATGAAAGGAAACCAAAAATTATTGCCTGGTGTTCAAACCTCGTTATGGACTTTACAGATGCGCTCCTCAGAGCACTTTAGACACTTGGTCTTACCGTTCCTTAACTTGTCCAAGCCTTCCGGAGTTTCCACAAATTTCTCTTCAAACTGGAAAGCAGAAACAGTAAAGGAGTTCTTGTTATTCATTCCATAGCATTATAGGACTTTCAGCCTTGAATGACCTCTGTCTGGTACATAACGTGGAGGAGGTAAGCTCTCCAAGTTTGCAGGCACACGGAGGAGTGCGATCCCGGCCATTTGTGAATCTGGGTAAGAGCCACCAGGAAGAGAGTGTGGGTCGCAACAGGCAACTGCTCCTATTTGGACGTTCCATCCACCTCCGCCCTGCTCTTCTATCTGTGAATGACTAGGTTGTGATTCGGGAGCAGAGTGTTACTGGAGGGAAGGGACTGGGAAGTTCTGCTAGTTGTGGAGTTTTAACAACTTGGGAAAGCCTTTGTCTCCACTTGAGACAGGACAGTGTGTGTGCCCCAGCTCGGGGTACCCATGGGGCAATGACCATCTGAGACGCTGCCACTCAGGGCCTCAGTCCACATCGTCTGGCCACACTGCAGGTGAAATGGGTCCTCCTTGCTGTACAGCTTGAACTCTTTCTACTCAGAATGTTCCCTTTTGAAAAGTATGACACACTAGGCTGGAATTCCCAATAAGGAAGAAAAAACGTTTTCCAAATTAGTTCTTAAATTTTAAAGGAACAAAAATCCCCTGGTTTCTGATATGACTGCCTGGATGTGACTATTGCCTCTTTCATGTACTTGTTTCTTTTGCTTAATCACATTCTTGAATCTGTGTCTCAGTCTCCATCCATAAAATGTGTATCTTTATGGTACCTGTGTCACAGGTTGATGTGAAGATTAAATCAACTAGGTGTGCCAAGGCCTTTGAACAATGCCCAGCGAAAGCTAAGTGCTTCATAAATATAAGTTGTGCTTAGATATTTAAAGATGGCTACTATCTCATAATATCATCCATCATTTTTTCTTTTAATTTAAAGAAATCTAACATTGGTGCAAATGCCCTCTGTTCTTGATCTATAGTCTTTGCCCCACACACTCTCCAGTCAAGCTGGGACTCAGGAGAGGCAGCCTGGGGCGGCCTCACTCCGACCCACCCTCCTCTGCTGAACTCATCCTGCCCAGAGGCCCTGAACATGTCCCCAAACCCAAAGCTGAAGACTGCACTGCAGTGAAACTGAGGGTTATTGGTATATAACCAAACAAGCTGGGTGGCACTATTTGTATTTGTGTGTGTGTGCTCATTTCTTCATGAAATTCAGAAAGGGCCAGATGAAGTCCTATGCACTCATTGAGCAATCCAGAAAGTATAATCCAAGGCTCGGCCACACACGTGGTTCCCGAGGGTCAGCACACGAAGGGAGTGCACCAGAAGCCCCCTTCACACAAGGCCACCTCACCTGAGACCCTCTTGCATGGCTCTAATGTCAGAGACACGGTCTCCTGAGTTCATCCACCACTCCTTCCCCAGGAAGATGCTCCTCAGAGACGCTGGGTCTCTCTGATCTGGACTGGGAAGATTTTCTCACTGGCGCCTTTAGGGGGCAGAGGTGTCACCCTGGATGCTCCCATCCCTCCTTGGAATCACCCATTTGCTTGTCTGCATCCTCCCTGGAATGTAAGCTCCCTGAGCACAGGGGCCTTGTCTGTCTCTCTCACCTCTGTGTCCCCAGGACCTACCACGGAACCTGGAACTTAAGGCTGCCCAACAGATTCGCTGCTGACTGCCTGTACTGAATCTTTAACAAGCAGTTTCTTACAGTCTGCTCCTCCCCATTTTTCTGGCTAATGCTTTAACTTCAAATACATTAATTTATCTTTTTATTATGGAAACTCTGAGCATGCATAAAAGACAGAGAGTGATTCCCCCCTTGTACCCATCACCCGGTTTCAATAATTACCAACTCTAACTAACCCCATGTTGTGTTTCTGCCCACCCACACTCTGGGTAATAATTTAAAGCCCATTCTGGACATCATATATTTCACCTTTAAATACCTCCATCTGTATTTTTGAAACCTGAGAATTATTTGTAAAGTAACCAAAATATGTGATCACACCTAACACCCACGACGATTCTTTACTGTCACCAACATTCAAGGGACGTGCGTATTTCTAATGTTGCATGAATGTTACATGTGACATTTTGTGGTGTGTTTACATCCAAATCCATATCAGGTCCTCATTGCGCTTAGTTTGTTAAAGTTATTTTGATTGTTTTTGTTCTGCGACGAGAAGAGATTTTAATATTAGACTAAATCTGTTCCTCGCTTAATAACTAGCAGTTTTTCTTTTCATGCAAAACTCATGATGAGCTAAGAAAAGCTTTCAGCTTAGTAAGAAAGTAGTTCAATACAGTCAATTTCAGGTCTAGCTTAAACTGGCAGAACTCAGGACTGACCTCCACTCCAGCTGCAGCCAGGAGCCAGCGGATGGACTCCATTCGGCCTCGTCCATTGAAGTAGTGAAGCTTGGGCTTCCCCGCCATGATGCCGCCTCTTGTTTTCTCTAAACATGAGTGAATGAATGAATGCACGAAACCACAAAAGCGAAAATTCACCCTATGATGTGTGGTGGTAGCGCACCAACAATGCTGAAGGAGTATCTGCCCTCTTCCTGGCAGAGTTGGAAGAGTCTCTGGAATGTCCATTTTGGCCTAAATTCTCACCCATCATTAGCCAACCCTGGGAAATTGCTATAAACCATTCTCATTTCTCTATTGGGTAAAGTCTGATTGATTTGGCAGGCTAATGGGGGGAGTCTGTGGTAAGGCTGTATGTGTGCGTGTTAGGGAGAAGGGAAGGATTAGACAACTAATATCTGCTGAAAATCTAATGATTCTGACCCAGTGCTAGTTGCTTTAGAAACATTATATTTTTAATCCTCACAACAGCCCTGTGAACTAGTTGTCATGTACCCATTATTCAGTTCATGAAACCAAGGCCCAGAGGCTAAATGACCTGTGCACAGTCACACTGCAGTTAAGGAGGGACATGGAAATCCACATCAAGCACTGAAAAAGGACAGGGATGGAAACCACCCAGGTATAGGCCCTGAGAGCCCGTGTGGAGCCTGGAAACCAGAGGGCTTCACTGACGGGGAGGTGGGGGAGGGAGCAGAGTCAGGCCTCAGCATCTTCACGGCTATGCTGTATTTGTTCAAAGGCTGAAATTAGGGCTGAGATTCACCTAATTGGAGCTCAAAAGACCTTAAGTTTTTTAAATAAACACAGGTTGCTAATTCCCACCTTTCTTGGAATTCTACATTCTACCTATACTTGGTACATTTTACAACCTAGAAAAGTAAGTGAAACTGCACTGCCTTTGCAGTCTACAGAGTGGAACCAGGATTCGTCCAGTGTCTGCTGCCCCTGCACGATGGGCTTTCTCTCGCCCGTTTACGTTCACTTAATCCTGCAAAAATCCCCTGAGATCGATTCTGGTAGTGCTTTGATTTTACAGTTGGGGATACTGAGGTTTCCAGGGTAACTCACTCAAAGTAAGTGGTGGACCTGGAAGTGAAACCCACTTCTCTTAAAAATCAAAATCTTGGCTTTATTTTCTATCTTAGTTGTTTTAAAAGATATGCATGATAGTGCTAAAGTGAATTGTGATACCCACCTATTTAAAAAACGAAATTAAAAACAGAAGCTATCAGACTGCATTATATATAGTCAAGGTAAGCACTGTTCCACGAGGTTTCAGTCTTCGTTGTATCTGTTATGTGTATAGATGTGTGACTGTGTGCATGTGCACCTGGTTATTATAAAAATGAGAGGTGCTGTGTCAGTGTTTGGTCAACAAACTTTGAAAGCCCTTGGTCTATCTCGGCCTGCAGAGCAAATGGACAAAGCCTGCAACCAGATATTGAAACTCAGGAGTTCTGTCACTGTGTGAATGGAGGCACACAGAACTCATCGAAAGCAGGGATCTAAAGCCAGGACTTAGAGAGGAACCATCTTTAGCTAGAAGATTGAATTTTCTATGTAAATCCCAAACTCTGCTTAGTATATATTAATTCTCCTGTGAAATTGTTGTGGTGAAGTTTGGGACAAAAATATACTTTCCTTTACCCAAATGGATATATCTCTGAAAACGTGAGTGTGACTTGAATTTAAGATATCACAATGTGTTCAATGTCCACATTGTTAACATGAGATTCAATAGCCTAAGCTTTAGAAAGTAAAGAGTCTTTGCCCTGACTGCGGTGGCTCAGTTGGTTGGAGCGTCACACCACACACTGAAAGGTCACTGGTTCGATTCTGGTCTGAACACATGCCTAGGCTGTGGGTTCAGTCCCGAGGCAGGGCGAGTGAGACAAGCAACTGATTGATGTTGCTTTCCCTCTCTCTTGCCCTTCTTTCCCCTCTCTCTAAAATCAATAAGCATGTCCTTGAACGAGGATTCTTAAAAAAAGAAGAAAATAAAGAGTCTTTTGGAAACACCCTTAATCAACCTGCTTCATAAGCGGAGATTTTGTGTAGTATACTTTCTTATCATGGGAAATGGAGATGCTATGATTCAGCAGAATGAGAAGGGGAATAAAGTCTCCACTAGCTCGGAAACATGTTTGTTATGGGCTAGAATTTACAGAGCTTAGTGACTCACATCCTGTCATTAAGCTCCCTTACTCTGTTGATTGAGGATCAAGTTACAAAGGGAAATAACTTCTACCTTATGTAATATTTTATCATTAAGCTCCTCCTCAAAGGAAACTTTCTTCACCTCCCAAGTAGGAGGTCCCCAATGTCCTGGTCAAGACTGGGCCAGACCCTACCATGAAACTTTGGTCAACAAAAAGTGAGAACCCGAGGGATGTGACAATGTGCCAGAGGTCACACATTTGTTCCTGATTCGCAGCGAGTATCTAGCGAGTGCATCTGCCTCTGCAACTACCCTAGGAAACAGCTTTTAATACCCTGCTTTAAAGACCAGGAGACTGAAGTTCAAAGAGATAAAGTGCCTCTCCTATGCGCTTGTGTTTTTCGAGCGTTAGGTTAGTTTGAGCTCATCTTCTGATTTCAGGTCTGGGGCCTTTGCACTCCACCATGAAACACGTCAGCAGGCTCTGTGCTTCTCTCTGAGGCCCTCGTCCCTTGCCCCATTCAGAATCCATTAGCCAATTAATGGTTAAAGGGGAGGGAGAGAGAGAGACATTGAATTCACAAGTGTCTTTCTGGTGCCTGATTTTTAGTGGCTTAACAAGAAGAAATATTAGTAAGTGTGTGTCTTGCTTTATATTGATACCCTAAAAACCTGTGAATAAATTGAGAACTAGCATAACTATATTTTACCTTCCTAACGAAGTAGGTTTATATTCCTTGAAAGGAATATATCCTATGATAATTCCATCATAAACTTAAGGAGTTAAGTCTCTGGGGGTGTTTCTTAGCAGAGAGAGGAGAGACTTAGAGACAAAGCCCAACTCCTTTCCTTATGATGTTCATAAACTTGGCCAGATTGTTTCATATTTGCACCCCAATTTTCTCTTCTAAAAATGAAGATAGGTATATGTAATTTGAGGGGTTTTGAGACAGTTAAATGTGATGATCTACATAAAAGTCATCATAGGAATCAGCAAATGCAAGTCCCCGCCTGCTCCCAGTTTCTGGGAGACAGGTAAGGCTCTGAACACATTGGGTAGCACATGTGTCTTCTTTCTTCTGCCTGTCAGTCCATCCATCCATCTGTCTATCACTTATCTATTATTTATCTAGCTCTCCATCTATCCATCCGTCTATCATCTCACTGTCTCTTGACTCAAAGCTCCAGCACAAATACAATTTTATCCACCTTAAATCTTTCTGCATGTTAACTAGCTTTTATTCATCAACCATGTTGTCCTAACACACATTTTTTGGCTATTTAGCTGGAAATACCAGACAGTTGATTGCACTTGGCTATTAGCTCTATGTAATCTTTCCAGGATAAAGTTGTTTTGAAAAGACACTAATTCTCTAGCCATTCACACCTGCATTCAACTCTGCAGACTAGAAATAGCACCAGAATGGCAATTTACCCCACTCTGTCCTTCCTACTAGTGCAGAGGAAAAGGAAGGGAAACTCTGTCCACAGAGTTGGCGGAGGGATGATTTCTTGCAAAACTTGTAAACAAATAGTTATTGTCAATATCTGAAAGCTGTAAAATTTAAAAATTTGAGGAAATATATGATAACACTATTGTCAAGTAGAGCCCTTAAAACCAATTAAATGCACATTTCTATAACAAATATTTTTAACAAACAAACAAGCAAGCAGACAAAAAGCCAATGGACAGGACAGCTCCCCACTACGACAAATTACCCAGCCCACCTCGCCAACAGCACCACAGTGAGAAACCTGCCCCAGCCCTGGGCTGGGCTTGCCATGAGCCCCAGAGAAAGAGCCAGACTGCTCAGGGGGCTAAGCATAGCTGGGAATGAATACAATCTCGTTCCAATGACATTTAGAATAATTTCATCCTGTTATAACAAATTTCAATTTTGAATTTTCACAGCCTCTATCAGATTACAGTGTTACCATTCACAACTGTGTGTGTTGACTTCTTCCATAGAGAAAGTAACTTTAGTGTGAACACTTACACTCTCACTTGCCCTGGTCATATTTTCAGGTTATCTACAATGATAACAACATTTTCTCCTCACATTAATTTTCCTTACATCACAATGCTTGTGCCCTAGTTTGCTAAATTCTTCGCTTTTACTTTTTCATACAGACATACCTAATAGCAATTGTCCTGTTAGCACACCAAAGACGTTCAATGTGAGTAGAAAACAAACATTTGCTTGTGCTAATGACATATTTTGGAAACTTTCCCTTTTTTTGTGACTAAGGTATGAGGATGTAAGGCATTGTATGAAGGTTTATAAAATCAGTACTTACCTTATTAAAGCCTGCCTCCCAGTTGCTCAGCCACTCAGTGCCAAGTCCTCATGTGTGTGACAGCTGTTTTTATAACTGAATGACTCCTCCTCTCTGAAAAGTGTAACTTCCAGATAAAGAAAATCTCTTCCCATGGTGTTCAGGGTCAATGGGTCCGATGCCAAATAGAAAAAAAAAAAGCCAAGTCATCCTTCATATCAGAAAACAACTGGTTAATATGTTTCTTGTCAAGGTCAGCAAATAAAAGATAAAGCAAAGAATTTCGTATTGTTGGACTCTGCCAGGGAGTTGGGCACGGCTTTTGGAAGGAGCTTATGGTGAGATTTTCATAAATTGGGTGCAAGGACTACAGTAGATAAATAAACCTCCACTGTGAGCAGAGCAGGAAGCTGATGTCGGTAAAGGGCAAGCCGATTGTGTAATACTTTTTATGTTGGGTTGCAGAGAAAATACAGGACACTCAAGTAAATGAGAGTTGCAGACATGGGACATATTTATACTAAAAATTATTTAGTGTGTATCTGAAATTCACATTAACTGGGCATCCTGTCTTTTCTCTGCTAAGTCTGGCAACCAGGTCGGTATACACTTTCCTCTATGCCACACTTAAGCCAGTCTTGCTATCCTCCGGGCCTTTGCATATGTGATTTGTTCTGTTTGGAATACTCTCTTTTGAGCTACGACTGTGTCTTTTACATTAAATGTTTAATGTCCATTTTCTCCATAGTCTGTGAAGTCCCGGGGGCAGGTTTTCATCTTCTTCTCAGTGACGTCCCCATGGTCTGGCACAGAGCCCAGCACATAATTGGAACTCAATAAATAATAGATAAATTGTTTTAAAAAATAATTAAATGGAAAATTTCCAGCAAATACGAACATGGAGAGAGTCGCAGAAAGTAGAGAAAGCCCAATGTACCAATCCCCCGGCTTCAGCAATTGCCAACGATCTCCTTTTATCTCTACGCCGTGGGGTGACATGGTGCCTCCTGAAAACATAGATCCTTGTCCAAATGCACAGAACCTATAAATGTGACCATACTTCGAGAAAGGGTCTTTGCAGATGTAATTAAGTAAAGGAACTTGAACTCCTGTTGTGAAATCTTTCCTGCACGGACTTCAAGAACCCTCACACTAGAGGCTGGCTCAAGGCAGACCTCCTTCTGGGCTGGTCCCTGACTAGCAACGTTACTACCATTTGTGATGGAGCAGTGGGGACAGCCCGGGGCCGTGACCACACCTACCACCTCACAGGACAGTGGGGGAGGCCCAGTGGCGTTCAACTCTATTAGTGGTTTACAGGGCTGCAGGGGAGGCACAGAGGAGAGAGCCCTGCTCTCCCTGGGAAGCAGCTGAGGTGAGGAGTTCAGCACCCGCAGGTGGGAAGGAGGCGTGAAGAGTGACTGGAGGAGGCTCCCCGGCAGGCAGGCATGGTAGTCTAGTGGCCGAAGGAGTTAAAGAAGGTGGTGACACTCAAATGTGCATGTTAGGGAAACCTTTCTGGTTGCAAGTAGACAGCAGACCAGATGGAGGTGGCGCTGCAGCCAGGGAGCCCTGGGTGTCTGTCAGCTGCCCACCCCACAGCGTGGAGAAGCTCACTCTAAGGAACAAGAAATTAATGGGCCAGAGGGCAGACCTTCTGGCAGGGTGTGAATTATTAGCCCCGAATATGGCTAAAGCTAGAAATCACTCCTAGTCCAGCCACTCTGCCCAGTGACAGGCCAAAGAAACGTGATCTGATATATAATCATTTGCATCTAATTTATACATATAATCTGTATCTCGAAAGTCCAGTTCTGAATGACATCGAGTAACCCAAGGGAAATCTCAGCCAGGGCCCCACAGGGCATTAAGCAGCAGAGCAATGAGGCGCCAGGCCCATCGCGGACCGTGAGGGACGGCAGGCAACCAGAGAGCAGAGCCTGGGCCTGGTTTACTCTTTGTTACTTCCCGCCTCCTGCAACACCAGCGTCCAGAGTAGGCATGTAGCTGTTGTACTGCCCAGGAGAAAAATGAATAACAAAACACATTTTTATTATCAGAAGGAAAATGGCTCCTAAAGAAAAAAATTTCTCTATGCCATTACCCTAAAAGTTAGCAATTCCCCGTTAATACCTGAGAGTGTCAGATATAAATGTTTACACTTGACTCTTTGATAGTCTCTGGGACAGATGTTATGTGACAATTTCTGGAAAAGATCAAACAGACCTCATAATTTGTTTCCCTTTTTAATTTAATTCTTAATTCCAAGAGGGACACAATAGAAGATTGAAAATCTGATTTCATATTAGATTTTAATGAACAAGAATAAACTGTAACTAAATCTGCTCATGGGTGTTTATTATTTAAGTACTTGGAAAAAGCTTATTATTCTCACTATATATAGCCAAGGTTGAAATTCCAGTAGAGCACCTCATTGTTGAAAGATTTCAGAAGATTGATTCTATGTGTGCCGGGCATCCCTGTCTGCTTTAGCATTCCACTCTGGCCCCAGGACCCTTGCATGCACTGTTTCTTGTGATGGGTACATTCTCCCCTCCCTACTCTCAGGCATCCTGTGCCTCCTCTGTCCTGTGACCATGACCTTATATGCTTATCACATGTTCCCCCGCCACTGTTCACTGGGAGCTCCTTGAGGACAAGACTGCCAAGTGCCCGTGACTGACTACAGTGCCTGGCACATGGAAGAGATTTAATAAGTAAATAGATAAATATAAATATATATGCATACCTCATCTTTTTCTAATGGAAAATTTCCAACATACATATGTGCAGAAGGAAGAGTATAATGGGCCTTAGTGTACCCATTGCTGTACACCAATTGTTGTCAGCAATGCTTTGAAACAAATCTCAGATTTTATGTTATTCCTCCGATAAATAATGTAACATCTATCTTGTGGATCAATAGGGTGAAATTATTTGCATCACAGAAAAATTGCAAAAGTGCTATAGAGTTCCCAATCAGCCTTCACCCAGTTTCCTCTAATTGAATATCTTAATAACCGTAGTACCCTGATCAAAACCAGGAATTAATGTGGATAACAACACTATTAATCAAATTCCAGACTTGATTTGGGTTTAGCAGTTTTCCAACCAGTGGTTTTTTTTTCCCCCCAGTTCAGGATCCCACACTGATTAGTTGCCATAGTCTTCTTCAGTCTATGACAATTCCTCAGTCTTTCCTTGCCTGTCATGATCTTGGTGTCACAGGTGGGCACAGGTAACCAGGTTCTTGGTGATCGCGGACAAAGAATTGAACTGAACACACAGAGTTTGTAGCTGAAAGAGAGAGAGCAGATTTGTTAAGCGATCGCACACTCCACAGAACATGGGAGCAGGACAACTCCAAGCAGAGACCGACCTCAGGGGCTGGAGGGATTCTATTCTTACAGGGTGGCTATTTCCTAGCTAGTGTTGGTGGACTTTAATTGCACATGTACAAGTAGTTGTATTACTTTAAAGCTACTGTATATGTGGTCTCCCATGATTTTCTTTGACTGGCTACCAGAGAAGTAGGCCACACAATGTTAATTTATTATAATGCTACTATAATGAAGCAGGGGTCATGTAGCATCTGCTGTGCAGGTACATTCATGAGTCACCATGATTCAGCTCTTTTCCAGAAAGTGGGAGTGACCAGTCTTAGAACAGGATCACTATTCTGTATTGGCATCCTTTATCTTAGCCCTGGGCTCCTCCTGAGTTTCCTCCTTCCTGACTGTCTCCTTCCTCATTGGTGCTTTGGAAGAGTATTGGTAGAATGTCTCTCAATATGTCTCTGCCTAATATTTCCTCATAATTTGATTGCACTTAATACATTTTTTGCAAGAAACCACAGAAGTTATGCTGTTCCCACACTGGTATCTCATTTCCAGACATAACATCATAGCCGAAACAAAATATGTCTTACTAAGGTGATGTTAACTTTGATCCTTTGACTAAAGTAGTGTCAGCCTGTTTTGTCAGCTGTAATGTTACTATTTATCCCTTTGAAAGTAATAAATATTTTGTAAGGAGATACTTTGTGGCTATGCAAACAGTCTGTTTCTTGCTGAACTTCCACTCACTAACTTTAACATCCATTGTGGATCTTGCCTATAGCAAAATGTTACTACAGTGTTTGCTTAAAGGTGGTGTCACTCATTCCTGCTACACGGAATAGCTGGAATTATGTTGTAAGAGCTATCTCTTCTCCCTTAGCTATTTATTCAATTGTTTACTTAGATCAGTATGGACTTATAGACATTTTATCCTAAAGGTTTTGATCTAGTACTGTCAATATACACTTTTTGGCTCAAATTTTCAACTTTGACCTTTGATAGGTACTTCAGGTTGGGTCCTGTGTCCTTCATCACAAGTTCCCTCTCTTTATGGGTATTTCCATATATTTTTGCACCAGCAATATTCCAGACTTACCTTGAATTTCTTCTGCCCCAGTCCTGATTGGTCAGTGTGCCCAGGAGGAAGGCAAGTGGCCCCGGCCCATGCCCAAGGGTAAAACTGGGATGGAGATTGGGGTGAGGGGGGACATGAGGAGGCCCCCTTGCAGGCACGGGAGTCACTGAAGGAGGTAGAGAGGGTGGTGATACTCAGGCTTGCATTTCAGGAAAACTGTTACAGAACTCAAGGGGTTCATTTGCTTGTGCTCATGAAAACCCAATCACACGCAAAAGGTTTATTAGTTAAGGAAATGGGTGCCAAGCCCAGAGTCACAGGTGAGATGGGAGCTGGTCTCTCTCAGGTCAGCCTGTGAGAGAGGAAGCACGGAGTGCCTCCTGGAGGGAGAGGGAAAGATTCTGTAATACCGGTCTATCCAGGAGGTATGCTAAGTTCCCGCCAACTTGGAAGGCAACCCACATGCTTCTTCCCTAGGGCTTCATCCCCACCCGCTTCTCCCTGAAGCGGACAAAAGACCAGGCAACTCCCTTACCAGAAGAGCCCCAGGAAGTCACTCACTGAACTCCAGGGCCATGTGTCTGGGAGAGCTCTCTGCCCAGACACGATCCGTGTATATCTGCCTTCTGGACACACCTACCTGGCTGACCCTCTCATCACTCACACTAACCAAACCCCAAGCAGAAATTGGGCTTTGGATCTGAGTGACACTGCT